AGAATGTTACGCGTTACTTTATTAGCACACACACAACTACTGTATTTTTGTCCACCCTGTACCAATTGGAATCAACATGTGATACATTTTTGGAATCAGCTCAGCTAGAGTAATCCGAAAATTGAGACAAAATGGGGGTGTTCCATTTAAAAAAAATGACGATGACGTCATTACTCGAAGGTAATTCACCCTGTATATTAGATTATTATTTTAAAATACGGTAAATTAACATCAAAAATCGACGTGTTTCAGGATTATTTCTTAAAATGACCTGTTTAGCTAAAAATTAATTTGTTCCATACTTTACGGACACAGTGTATATATTTTATTAAATAGAAAAAAGCTGTTCTGTTTCAAAATGTCGAGGCTGTCCACACATTTATCCTCAATTTTACCTGTTGATAGGGAATGTTCAATGATCGTTGGTTCAATCTGCAGTGGTGCTAGATCTTTCCCAGTTATGGATTATATTTCTCTTGAAAAGTTTATACCTTTTCGCAGTAACAAGCAAACTTCTGTAGAGTAGGGAGGGTGAGTGTATACCCACATGTGATCTATTCTCCCGAGGAGTTGTCCTCCTAGGTCATCGTCCATCCTGTCCTTTCCAGGAAGGTGGACAGGTCACTAGGAGACATCTCCTTTATATTGGCAGGTGTAGGCCAAGACTCGCCGAACACACACTATCTTTGGCAACCTTGAGGTGTCTCACGTTGGCCTCCGCGAAGGTTTTGGAAGGTGCAGCGACATTACTGTTGTTGCGCGGCTTCTTCAACCTTCTTGGGGTTCCCTCCGTTGAGGTGCACAAGTGAGGGAGCTTTCCTGCAGGGGCAGCCGGTTCCTTGCCTTTATTCAAGGCGGAGCTCTTGGCGCCTGCCGCAGGAAGTGCCCATGCTGTTGGAGGTGGAATGGGGGAGAAGGAGGGTGCACTTATAGTTGCTGCCACTCCAGCCTCATGCGCTCTCTTTCTCCTTTTGGCCTCGTCGCCGCGAATGCGCTTACGCCTTGTCTTTGTATTACATCACGAGGTGATCTGCTATGTCCAGCCTCATTCCAAGCGGAAGATTGGGGTGGACATTTCTGTTCATCCGCAGCCACCGCCTTAGAATGAGGTGAGCACTTCTGTCCAGCCTCGGGATTAGTTTTTGTTTCTGTTTTTGAGTTTGTTTCATGTGTGTTCCCACGAGTAGCAAGGTAAGAGTTGGTCGCCTCTGGCAGAGCCCCGCATTACCAGAGGAAGGCTGACTACAATGAGGTTTCGCCCGGTTCCCCAAGGGGATCGTTTGTAACCACATATCACCCTGCGGCCATTCTGCTGTCGGCACGATTCCTCACACCTTAGCTTGGGTAGGCTGGTCCACAGTGACATGTTTTGGGGAGTTTTAGTTCCCCTCACCCTACTTATTTCTGCCACTGACCAGGAGTCCGGCGACTCCGTTCGTAAGGCCATATTGGCTTCCCAGACAGGGCCTCCCGTGTCCGTTCCCCATCCGCCACCTGGGGACGCGCCCGATAGGTAGCCTAACCCACAGGTTTTATGGATTAAATTTTGATATTTCTTTTTAATTGTGGAAAGACTCAGAGAGGTTCAAAAAACGTAATCTACGCCATTTATATATTAATTGATAAATTTATTGTTGGCTGATTTTATCCATGTATATTACAGCTAACAGAGAGGTAAGAACGAAGAAATCACCATAGTTCTTATTGTTTGTTGCTATTTAAACGTTTTCTCTAAATGGTTTTGATTATCAAAATAAAAAAGTACTTTCAATAGTTTTAAGTTTTCAACCTGCAAAGTCAGTTATCTGATACCAAAAATCTATTGGTATTATAGATATTAAAAAATATTTTTAAATAAATCACCATATTCATTCAGCTTGTATTTTCAGAAATCAGTATTAGACTTACTCTATGAACTGCTGGGTTTACCTCAACCTGAATGGTCCGATGAATTATCGGTAGCTTTGAGTGCTGTAGATCCTTGTGAACCACAAGCATCTTGGAGGCTGAATGAAGGATTTGTTGTAGCGGAAGGTAGATCTGTGCTTCCACACTTAGCTAAGACTACTCCAAGCACAACAGACATGCATTTGGCGCTACTGTTGTATTGTTTTTTGGAAAATGGTCTTTTGGCAGCTTTGACAGAAGTTATCGCTACTAGCGATACTTTTATAAGCGTTAGGGCTTCTGTTCTATTAGGTAAAAATAATTGATATTTCAAATATATATATTCAAAACTGTTTTTTTCAGGAGAGCTTCTAAGACTTATCCAAGTATTACTTCCACCTGGTTGTTGTAATGTGTCCCCTTCTCTTCCAACTTTATTAGAGTATGCAACAAAAAGTAAACCTCAAGCTATAGCTGCAGTTACCGCTCTCGAACAACTACATATGTAAGTCCTATTTTATAATTTTTAACTAATAGTTGCAGGTATGAACATCGAGAGGTTGTTTATGGTATGATTATGCCTTTCGGCCATTCCATCGAACTGTTGGTGAAGAGCGGTTGTTCTTGTCTTCTGCATTCCCAACAAAGTCATCATTTTCTTCCATACATCTGATTCGAAATTGTAGTCCTGATCCGAGTGAAACTCTTGGTGTACTCTGTGCTTGGCAGTTACGTTCCGTAACAACATTTCGGTCATTGGGAGAAAGTTGTCCCAGAATGTCAACGGCGTTTCTCTAGAAAGGATATCCACTGAGGTACGGCTCAACTTTTCCCCTAGCCTTGTTTTTGAATCCTTTCTTGAAGGCCACAGGTCACAGCGCTTGCACCACTACTACACGTCTGAGCAAAAATTGACCTGAATTTCACTAGTTCGGACTTCCATTGTCTACTATATAAAATGATTTGAAATCCCTGAAACAACTAAAAAAGAAGAATATAAAATGAATAGCTGAAAATAACAATTATAAATACTCTTCCCTAGCCTTTATCCAAAATGGGAAAAACAATTGAAAAGTATTAAGTGTTTTTAATCTGTTTACGCGACCCACCCAAATTGCACTAGTGGGTAAGTGAGTAAGTACCTCAGTACATAGTCAATTGTCATTACGTGGGGTATATACATATTTGAGTAAAGAATGAACTGTCAGTACGTTATTTTCTACGGAAAAGCTACTGTATTAGCCAAACATGTCGTGATACTTTGTGGAAAATTTAAAAATGAAGATTTTTCATATTCCTCTCATGTTTTTGAGGGATGTCTCATAGTAAAGTCTAAATATAATGTTCCATCATATTCTCGTTGTACTGCCCTTGGTAGCAATTTCATTTCAGGTTTATTTTGCTTAATATAATCGTTATTTTCAGCTATTCATTTTTAATTATTCTTTTTTAGTTGTTTCAGGGATTTCAAATCATTTTATATAGTAGACAATGGAAGTCCGAACTAGTGAAATTCATCATGAAACATTGTCAATCACCTTCAAACAAACAATTGACCTGATAGTATCTGTCGCGCACTCTCGCTAGAGTTTTGTTTATTCCGAAATGTCCTCCAGTGCGACCACCGTGGAGCTGTTTGAGTACATTTGGGATACATTTAGATACAATTTCCGAGTGAGGTCATCTCGAATGCACATGGGAGTCTCATTGGAGCCAGTAACCCTTTCGATGCCGGTCATGCTTGGAAATCTCTTGCCATTCCGGCCTCACCTCTTTGTCAATCCATTCGTGTACAGTTTTCAATACCGGATCCTCCTTTTACACTTGTCATGAAGGTAGTGTCACTCTCGGAAGCAGTAAACGACCGTACCACACCATGGTCGAGTGATTCCTCACATCTTCAGTCCGAATCCTTGGACAAGGGACCCTTACAGGTTGCTACCATCCGGGTCAGAGAGAACCCGGATGGAGCTTATCTCCATATCAGAGCTGTCCATTAAGGCGTCTTTGCTCCCTACCCTGTCACATCTTGTGAAAAGTTCTTCTGGTAACTGGGTATCCTCGTCCTGGCGTCGACAAAATTTGCATCAGGATGTCAGGCATGGTCTTCTTGAGAAGCGAGCTCTTTCCTGGTGTTCCCAAGGTCTTACTAAAATAGCTAATAACGACGTCTTCTCCTTCTTGTACAGTCTGATGACTTTAGCCCCAAACTCCTGCAGAGTCTCGGATGGTCTTCGAGTTCATCCCATCAGTTGAGCTTGGCAGACTTGTTAAAGGTGCTCACTACCATACCTGACTTCCAAAGCTGTTTTAGAATAAAATTGTTCCACACAATCTGGTAATATCACTGATGAAGATGATGAAAAACAGGGAACCAAGTTATGAACCCTGATGAACTGGTACAGTGGTTTTCATTGGATTTGATTATTCATTATCTGGGAAGATGGTTTGGAATATTTGACAGATTTGATTCTACCCAATTTGTCTCTATTTCCTCCATTATCATTAGTAATAGTTTTTTTTGTTGTGCCTGATGATTACACGTTTTATTTTACTAGACTTTGCTAATAAGATGTTCAGATCTTGGGTAATAAAGCATATTTTGATTTGGTTTAAATTCTAATCCATCTGCTAGAGCGCTGTTGGTATATTTGGTTTTCCTGAACCCATTTTGGATATCTGGAAGTAGATGAAATCTGATGCGCTTAGGAAAATATTTGTTTTTGTGAGTCATCGCTCATTTAGTTATTTTATGGAAAACTACATTGTGGTGAAATAAATTACTTTCATAATATACTATTTTAGGTTAATGAAAAGGAGGCCAGCTTCATACAGTTTGCACCTAGATTATATCATAAGAAATAGTTACCACAAGAGAATGGAACACAAACAGGTCAAAGCTGCGAGACACAAAAACACCAGTGGCTTCCAAAAAAAAATTCATCAGGTAATATTGAAAAAGTGATTTATAAAAATCAACTTCGAATTTATCTTTCAGTTGGTATTGAAAGATGATGATGATGCAATAAAAGAAACAGGGGTACTAGTGAGTAATGATCCATACACGTGGGACTGGAATTTAATTAATATTATACTGAAAGTAAGTATTTGTGTGACTTCAAGGAAAATTATTACTGTAACAATTATTGTATCGTTATAAAATAATAATTTATTTCAATGGTGATGACCTATTTAGAAATTGAGAAAAGTAAACAGTGGACAGAAAATATTCTATTTCGAAAATATTATTCTCAATTTCATTAAAACAACGATAAAAATAAAAACAACAATAAAAATTAATTGGCGCTCTGGGGCGACTTCATTGATTCCAGTGGCGCATTTGCTTTTTCAGCTGCAGGAAAACCCGGAAAAACCTGCAGCACCACATCATCTGAAGATCTTGATCTAATTGAAACAACAACCATGATTTGCTAAATTAAGGATATTTATAATATACATATTTCACCTGAAAATCATGTGATTCCACCCTAATTGTAACCGAGATATATTCAATGAAAGTATTCAAAAGATAAACTGGAAAAGTATACAATCTTGAAGATTTAAAATTATAAGAATGAGGTATTGAAAAAAAAATTAACGTTAATCTACTCAAAAATGTAGCAATGTATTTTAGTAACACTTTGGGAGATTTTGTCACTGAAAATACCAATAATAACATATACATAATACTAATAATAACAAAAAAACTATACCAATGGAGATGAAATAAATGGTTTCAAAATTATTTAATGAATAGAAAGCAATATGTCTATATTGGCTACATAATCAGTTAAAAAAAATATTTGAGGATCTTAAATATTTCATACGATTTAGACTCCTTAATAGCATTTGGTAGTTTATTGTACAGTGTGATCGAGTTATATAGTGGAGAATTTTTAAATTTGGTTGTTTTGTGAGAGGGTATTCTCAACATATCACCATGACGTTTACAATAGTTATGAGTAGTCACATTCACTTCAAAAGATGCAAGGTTGCTTCTTAAATAGGTTACACATTTCAGTATATATATGCATGGAACTGATAACAAGTTTTCCCTTATGAGTATAGGTTTGCAGATATCATGATAGTTCATATCAAAAATTAATCTTATAATACGTTTTTGGGCAACAAATATTCTATTAAAATCTCTACCACATCCCCATGACATAATATTTAGAGAAACATGTGGATATGACATTGCAAAGTATATGCTCAGAAGGCTTCTTGAATCTGCACACAATTTCATTTGTTTTATTGCAAAAAAAAGCTGAATTTAGTTTCTTGCAGACACTATCAATATGCAGATCCCAATTTAGAGATTCATCTAATATAGTTCCTAGAAATTTTACGTCACGTGACATCATTATTTCATCAGTAAGGTCAATTACCCTTGGGATGTTATTTTTTCTGTTATAAAATTTCAGTGAGACAGATTTAGAGGTATTAATATTAAATTATTACGTTGGCACCATGAAGTAAATCTATCAGTAACATCTTTGACCCTTGTTAGTATATCTTCTAGTGTGGCTTCAGTAATTGTCATTGTGGTATCAGCTGCAAACATAGTTATGTAACAATTATCAATATCAATATATTGCAAGAGATCATTGACAAATATTACAAACAGTAAAGGTCCCAATACTGATCCCTGAGGAACTCCTAATGTTACGTCATGTTCCTTGGACACGATATTATTATATTTGACAGTCATTCGACGACCACTTATATAGGATTTTAACCAAGATAATACGTTATGTGGAAACCCAAGCCTAACTAACTTTATATATAGAAAATCTGGTGACACAATGTCAAATGCCTTTGACAAATCAAAAAATATACTTATTACAAAATTGTTAATATTTACAATGTTATCGTCCAACCTGTGTTAGGAATCACACGTTAAAAGGTAAGACGTCGTTAATCCTTATCTCGCACAAGTTTCGCTTCTGAGGGTTGTCTTTCGTAGGGGTGCGACAGCTGGTTAACGGAAAAACAGATTTTTCAGATTTTTTAATCTGAAATTAATGAAAAGGAAAACAAATATTGGTCAAAATTCGATTTATTGTAAATGTATCAAATTTTACAATGAGCTATCGAATGCTTTAAAAAAAATGTAATAAACAAAAATTCTGGATTAATTTTAAAAAATATTTATTGTTTGTAATATATCATCTGATGAGTACATTTATGTCTATGTTGATAATGTATATGTCTGTATATGTATGTATATTTATATTTTTTCAAGTTTCAGTTATGATTTTTTTTGTGTGCTCTGTTCGTATTTAGTTATTGATTTTTTCCCTGCTATAAAAATTGTATGTTTCTTGGGAAAATAAATTGTTATTGTTATTATTATAATACCTAATATTTTTCAGGGGGAAAATCAGGCAAAAATTGACTTCTTCGATACTTCACATCGTACCTTTGTGAAAAAATTATTGGAATTTTTCATGCCATCAAAAAATAAATACTCTCATATGGATCTCGGTCCGTCAAAATCATCCATCATCTATACAACTACAGGCATAGAGTTGATAAATTTTTTAATTGAACTCAAAGAACCCGACTACAATGGAGTGAAACCTCAAAATATGATAATGGATTTATTTAAGGACATATTGAATAATATCAATGCCATTACAGAGAGCAGAAATGTTCACGACTGCCTGTTCAGTCCACAGCATATGGTTAATACCCAATGTCAAAGTTACTTTTTATTCATCGGACAATTTTCTAGGACCGATCTGGGACTTAAAATTCTGGAAAATATAAACATGTTCAAAAAGTGAGTATATTTCATTGTTCTCCCTCTTTGTCATTTTTTGAAATAGACTGAGAAAGGCAAAGGTAACCAACAAAATTTTTAATTATCTAGCGGTTTAGTTGTATAAGTATTAAAAGTTTATGAACAACTGTTGTTTATGTGGCTTGTGGAGGGGGTATTGAACTATAATTTATATTTTGCCTTAATTGTTGATTTATAAAGATAATTTTCCTTTTTTAAAGTAGAATATCTAGGTACCTACGTATAAATTATTTCAATTTGATATAGGCGCTGTTGCCAATATGTGAATTAGAAACAAATCCCTTTGAAAATTAAAACCCACAGTTGAAACATCAATTTGAATACTTTTCGAAGTGAATTTGTAAAACTCATGAATTAAACTCAACTTTATTTTGCTGTAATAACCCAAATTGAGGAACATTCCCCATTTAAGTTGGTTAACATTTTTGTCTTGGTCTACCTAATTCAAAAATTAATAATGAGGGTCTTGTTTAAGCTGTATTGTATTGATTTGATTAATGTTATATTACATTTTTTAATAGATTAAAAGAGTTGGCAACAACAACAAACCACGATTGTTACGTGAAGCTCATAATATCTTCGTTAGAGTATATCTTTCCAGGACCGTGTCGCGAGATACTGGAATCTGTCCTAACCTGTGGCTGGGAAAGCTCGCGATTATACGCTACCCAGTTTCTCCATATTTTATTGAGAGCAGGAAATCCTTTCTTTTCTTCATGGGCGATACAGTTGCTTGTCAATCAATTGGCTGACAAATCAAGATCTGTTTATCTTTCTGCATTGAATACGTTGCATGAAGCCTGTGAGCTACCCGATTGCTTGGATGTGCTGATAAATATTAACCCAAAGTTAGAAAATCTTGGAGAAAAAGGAACGTTGCTCTTCGTTAGGTTTCTATCCGTTGAAGCTGGCTTCAAAAAAATAACCACTGAAAAAGCAACAGAAGAACTCAAAAAATGGGATGATTACTTTATATATCGATATGTTAAACTTGTAGAGGGTGACATTTCAGATGCTCTCACATTGCATCAAAGAAATGAAGATGGAAAATATGACAAACGATCAAGCTCATTAAGGAATTCCAATAGAAGGGATGTTTTTCTGCCACCCCACCTGTATGGACAACTGAGTCAGCATTCTCATGGGTTTGAACTTCTTTTAAATAAGGGACAAACAGAAAAAATGATTGAGGTACGTTATTTTGATTACATATAAACGTATTTTTTTGGTCACATCAATTAAATTTAAATTTATTTAAGATCATCAAATGGTTTTGTCCACATTTTGCATACAATGTACAGGTTCAAATTGAAAGGTGTATATTTTTAGGAAAGATTAATTTTTGGGAATCTTCCAAACAAAGAAAGAAAGCAATCAGTTCGGGGTCAAACCCGAAACCGGTCATATGAATAAAATCTACCAGTGGTATTTAGACAAAAATGTTTTTATTCATTTCATTTGAGTAATAAACTTCCTGCAGACTTTACAAACATTGCTTCTATGACTGAATTCAAAAAAGCTTTGAACAAATTGTATTCGAACATGCAGATAACTGTTTAGAAAGTAGGGTGATTGAGTATAATTTTACCATGTTGAAGCTATTAAACAATAGTTACACCAACATGTAGTTGTGGAATATTATTTTATTTTATTATTTTCATCTTTTTTTTTCACCTTTAAAGTCCATCTTATTATTTTTAAATTTTTGTCTTTATATACATACTTTTTGTTTTTATTATTTTGTTATTTTGGTATTGTTAAAAACAACTACAAGATTATATTAATCTAAGAATACTTTGTAGGCCATAACACGAGATTTATTCTGATTACTGGCCAATTGTATGTTTATAAATAAATAAATAAATTGTTAGGTTAGGTTAACGTGTTAGGAATCACACGTTAAAAGGTAAGACCTCGTTAGTCCTTAGCTCGCACAAGTTTCTCAACTTGAGAGTTGTCATTTGTATGGGGGCGACAGCTGATTAACCGAAAAACGTATTTTAAACAGATTGATTGCTACACAATATAGTATATGAAAGAGGTAAAATGTCACTTACATGAAACAGTGTCATCCTCAATAGCGCAAATTGGATGTTTCGGAATAAAATACTTGCCTCATTGCCTCTTCAGCACTAATCTGGATTACATTACAAGATGAAGCATTCAATTCATTCATAAAATTACGACTTTGTCACAAATGAGTTAAATCGATTCAAGTCGTCGATGACAGGTCGTAATAATAATAATTTTTATTAATTCAATTAAGTCACTTACAAACATAGGATATGTCACATAAGTAAGTAAGTACATTCTAAAATAGATTTGAGGGAATATCAAAATTATATAAAAACAAAGTGTGTATGAAAGTGGTGCATGAAGTGCGTGTATAGATATAAATAAATTATATAACATTAGGACTAGACAAAGATTTCGTTAAAAAAATCATTCAGTCTAGAAGAGAGTCCTTATGAGCATTTTTCTGAGTTTTAATTTGAAGTTACAAATGGGTAGAAATGTCAAAGTGGGGTTAGGCGGTTGTACACTTTGATTCCCATAACTCTGGCTCGTTATTTGAAGAGTATGATTTGGAATGATTTCTTATAGTTCCCATGTGGAATATGGATGTGTATTATCTGGGCGTTTGGCTTGGTGCTTTCTATCATGTGCAAAGCAAGCTATTTCCAGTATATACAGGTTGTATGTGAAATATGTCAATTTTTAAATTAAAAAGGGTATATTTTTAGGAGAGATTAGTTTTTGGAAAAAAAAAAGTTTGGATTTTTATTTCTCCATCTTCATAGAAAAAGTTTGGAAAAACTTCTGAAGAAAAGAAGAGA